TACGTTCCATCTGATTTACTGTACTCATATCAGACGTGCCATGCCACAATTTGTCATATTTATACACACCATATAATTAATATTCACCATATTCATATCATCATACGTTCCATCTGATTTATTGTATTCATATCAGACGTGCCATACAACAATTTGTCATATTTATACACACCATACATTTAATAATCACCATTTCATATCATCATACGTTCCTTCTGATTGAATATCTTCATATCAGTACTTTTTTAATGACATAATTATAAATATATAATTATATATATATTAAATACTTCTCAGCATTCCAGTTCGTATAATGATATTTCATAATCATATGTCAAGGTATAGCCAATATCGCACAATCCACATAATCATTTGATTTAAACACTGACAGCGACATTTATTGTATTTCATAGTTTTATTATAATCGCTAAATCTCTGTGAGAGAAATGATAAACAACAGCGCAAAATATACTTTTCCTTAAGTCTCGAGCTTAAATTTTTCCAGGATTGTATTGTTGCAATTTGTTTGGTTCTTCTCCCATAAAATGATTTGTTTAAAAAATATGTTTATTTGTCTCTCTTTGTAGTTCCGAGTTTTTAATTGTCAATCTATTTGAAAGAAAGCATATTTCTTGCATGGGATATGTTAATATGTCATGTTATTTAGATTATATTTCAAAATGCATGAACGTGACAACTTACGTTCGTTCCGAGTGTTCTTTCTTAGCATAAACTTACTAAACTCGTATCATCATTACATTGAAATATTCGCATGTAGCAATAGTTTAATCTTGAATATTCATAAACTCAAAATAGCTGTTTGGATAACGATTGCAGATAAATATTTCGAACTTGTCATTATCACGACACATGCCTCTTACCCATGAACTTAAAGCGGGGTAGTCGTCACCTGCGCATGCGGCAGTCTGCCATGGCGTGTCGTTTTTTACAAACAAGCGTCTCCCCATGAGCCTTTGCGTTTTTAGCGCGCGTTATTATCGTCGCTTGGGACTCAATTCTCGCGCGTGCGCAGATGACGACCCCTTCACTTTAGCATCGTTCACATCCGGCAACACCTCTGTTTTTGAGTTTGTTTTCACGTCATATAAATGAATGGATTGCGAGGGCGGTCACAATGAAAGAAACTCGATGATGATGTCTTCCGTCTTCTTTCCTCTTTCTTCATCTTTTCCATCTTCAGTGTCCAAATATTACCCCGGCCTACTGGTACATATATGTATATTTTCATCCGTGAAACAAAACAATAGGTGAGTTTACATTAAATGCGAGATTTCGCATTATGCGTGAAAGACAAGCATTGAACGCCTGCCTTTTTGTTTTTATAGTTCAATGTCAAAATTCCAAGCTTCCAGAGGGGATGTGACATTGAGGAACACAAAATTAACCAACTCATTAAATGTGTATA